CAGGAGCACGGCTATCCTTTAACGGACTCTTTTAATTAAAACGTCATCAAAACTGGCTTATAGTTTAAAAGATCTTCCGTCTCTCTTCCCATAAATATATAGCACCTTGTGGGCTATCTTCCATCTGTCTAACAACATATTCTCTAAGAGCGGATCTCTCGGGAAAAATAATAGTGGACAGGACGACTCTTCTGTACATTCGTTTAAAACTGATGATGGTATCCTGCCTTGACATTTTGCTTGTGTCTGGTAGTGTCTAGGAGTAATTTCTTGACTTCTTCTTTAGCTACTTGCAGTGTCTTAAGCTTCAGTTATCTGGTTGGAATTCGTATGTTGAAAATGGAACTCATTTCTTCTAAGATTAAAATATCTTGTTATGTAAAACAATTTGGAACTTTCTCTTTAATACCTCACGCATTTTCTCTTTAATACCTCACGCATTTTCTCTTTAATACCTCACGCATTTTCTCTTTAATACCTCACGCATTTTCTCTTTAATACCTCAGCATTTTCTCTTTTAATACTCTCACGCATTTTCTCTTTAATACCTCAGCATTTTCTCTTTAATACCTCACGCATTTTCTCTTTAATACCTCAGGCATTTTCTCTTTAATACCTCACGCATTTTCTCTTTAATACCTCACGCATTTTCTCTTTAATACCTCACGCATTTTCTCTTTAATACCTCACGCATTTTTCAATTTAATACCTCACGCATTTTCTCTTTAATACCTCACGGCATTTCTTTTATAAATTTTAATTTATACTCACGCATTTTCTCTTTAATACCTCACGCATTTTCTCTTTAATACCTCACGCATTTTCAATTTAATACCTCACGCATTTTCTCTTTAATACCTCACGCATTTTCTCTTTAATACCTCACGCATTTTCAATTTAATACCTCACGCATTTTCTCTTTAATACCTCACGCATTTTCTCTTTAATACCTCACGCATTTTCTCTTTAATACCTCAGCATTTTCTCTTTAATACCTCACGCATTTTCTCCTCAACTTCAGCGAATTTCTCGTTTATTCTTGGTATTTGGTTCTTTTATAATCCGTTTGCTTTTACTACACACTTTGAATACTAAATATTCTCTAATATGTATTGTTTCTTTCCCACGCAATTTATTCTTCAAACCTACGTTTCTCTTTCCTCTCATTTTCATTTGTATATTCATCCTTGTTCCTACTTGAATTCACACAATTTTTTGACCTTTCTATACTCACGCATTTTCTTTTTGACCGCCTTTTCTAAACCAAATTTTTGACAGTCTCTTAACACTTTTTTTACTCTCTTAACAAATTTTGACCGCATTTTCTTAACAATTTTTTTACAGCCATAACCATTTTTCATTTTTTCCTTTCTCTTTAATAAACTTTTTCTGATTCGCAATTTCGTATGCATATGGTATTTATATCTTATTCCTTGTAAAATATAAATTCCAATTAGTTCCTAAAACAAATTATCTATCTAACACATTATATTTCGTATTTTCATTTGATCATTATTATTTACGATTTCAATTTTCGCTTCTTAAGTCACAATTTTTGATTTCAACAATTGAACATGTCACTCCTTTCGATTGGTCTCTCTAACAATTTTAGATGCTCCCTTCCTCTCATGTGAACCTTCCACTCACTTATTTCTCCAGGCTTAATAAATTTTACTCAGCTCTCTCCATCTCGTCAAAGATATTCCTCTCTTCACCCTTGAAAAGGACACCAATTATTCTTCTTTCCATTATTTCTGTTTAGAATTTGTCATTTTCTCCCTTCTTCTTCCTCTCTCTAAGAACATAGAACTAATGAAAGATCACTGCATGCAGCCTGTTGTCCTACTCGCAGTGTCCCTTTGGAATCCTCATCCCACTAACAAAACAAATGCCCTCCACCCGTTTTCAATATCTCTTTCCCCTAAAGGAAATTTTTCCAGGTCTTAAACTTCTACCAACTCATTTGCAAGTCCCCTCAAAAATAACAACAAAGCCCTCCACACTCATATTGTATCACCCTAATTTTGAATCCTACTAAAGTCCTAGCCTCAAATAACCCAACCTAGTTTTCAACTGTTCCACATCGTCAACTCCTATTTCCAAACCAATCTTTCCAATATGCCCTTCAAATCTAAACTTGTCTAATTTACAATCCAATTATACCTGAGTTCTCCTCAATAATGAGTAGACATTCACTCAATACCTCTATTAATACTTCCACCCTTTAATTAATACTCATTCTATCCACTTATATCACTTCGATCAGGTCTCCTCAATTCTTCATTTAACAGTTAATGTAATTTAAGTCTTCAATCTTTCTTCATAAGGAAGATTTCTAATGCTATGTACATTAATTGTACATCTTAACGCTTGAATTTTTCTAAACGAAATTTTAATCCATTATGTAATTTAGGAGACCTATGTACAATTAGATCTCTGATAATTAGTGTGATCTAGTGGCCTTACTAATGATGTATAAAGCTGCAGTATGACCTCTGGACTTCTGTTGCTTACACTTCTTGATATAAATCCCAATAATCTATTTGCCTTATTACGTACGCTTAGGCATTGCTGTCTTGGTTTACAGGTTGCTGCTTACCATAACCCCCAAGTCCTTTTCGCAATCTGTATGGCTAAGTTCTACATTATTTAACTTATAAGTGCTAGGGTTATGGACACTCCCGAGCTTCAGAACCTTGCATTTATCTACATTGAACTGCATCTGCCACTTTTTTGACCAAGAATAGAGTTTGTCTAAATCCTCCTGAAGTTCCCTAATAATCCTCCTGAAGTTCCCTAATAATCCTCCTGAAGTTCCCTAAAAATCCTCCTGAAGTTCCCTCCCTCTCCCACTCCCTCTCTCCCTCCCCACTAACTAAGGATATTGTCACCTCAAGCCTAAGGATACATTTCTTTCTCTCTCCCTTATTAAGAATTTTCCGTTTCTCCTTTCCTCACTCCCTATCCAAACAAATACTTCCTCACTCCCTTCCCGGTCGAAGGATTCTCCCTGTCTCCTTCCCCAGCCCATGCATATCCCCCACTATCCTAGGATACTTACGGATCTGTCCCCCAGCATGTGGACTCTGCAGGGAAGATAAGCAGTCTGACCAGAGATGATGGTGAAATTGGTGGGAGAGTCAGCGAAGTAAGGGCGAGGTCGTCCCAGCCACCAGCCCTCAGTTGATTCTGCCTCAGCCCCTGGGGAGACAGATTAGGAAGTGAATACTGGTGGTAGATGTTGGTGGTGATGATGGTTGTTGTTGTTGGTGGTGGTGATGGTTGTTGGTGATGGTGGTGATGGTTGTTGGTGGTGGTGCTGATGGTTGTTGTTGTTGGTGGTGGTGATGGTAGTTGTTGTTGTTGGGGGTATTGATGGTTTTTGTTGTTGGTGGTGGTGATGGTTGTTGTTGCTAGTGGTGGTGATGGTTATTGTTGTTGGTGATGGTGATGTGTGGGTGGTGGTGGTGGTGATGGTTGTTGGTGGTGGTGGTGGAGGTGTCGAGAAAAGAGAAATACTTTCGCAATTATTAGCAATTATAGGATAAACGTTGACGCTTGTACCATCTAGCACATCCAAATTTAACACAACACAAATAACCCGTATTGTGCCATTTTTCTCTTTAGCCTAAATTAATATACATCACCATTAGCCTTGCTCTAATTAAAGTCATAATAACCTAACTTTGCTCTGATCAAAGTTAATCTAACCTTACTTTGCTCTAACCAAAATAACCATAATTAAATTTTGCTCTAATTACCTCTACCACAGCAAATAGGCTTAGCCCTAAATAGAGATTTCTCTAACTCTATCATTTCCTAATCAATATTTTTCTAAATAAAATTAGCCTTAATAGGAGTTACAATAACCAAACTTCCTAAAATAAAAGTTAGAATTAAATTAGTCGGCTGTATTAAGTGATTAGTGAATAACAAATGAGGCTGGAGTCGATCCATTATATAAATATTAACTTGTGTTTCATGTAATTGATAGAGATCACATTAACCTTATCGCTGGTGATTAATTACTCAATGAAAACATTAAATACAATCATTTTAATGTGACTGGTGAGTTGGTAGGGGAGAGGAGAGAGAGAGAGAGAGAGAGAGAGAAGGGGTAACATAACGTAGGGCCAGAGAGTCACACTTTGTCTAGTGTAAATTCCTTATTGGTGTTGGTCTCTGCTGGTGTACAATGAAGGTTTGTGTTCTTATGTTAATTTTCTGTGTGTCTCGCTCTTGTTCTTCTCTCTCTTCTCTCTCTCTCTCTCTCTCTCTCTCTTTTTCTCTCTCTCTCTCTCTCTCTCTCTTCTCTCTCTCTCTCTCTCTCTCTCTCTCTCTCCTCTCTCTCTCTCTCTCTCTCTCTTTTTCTCTCTCTCTCTCTCTCTCATAGGGTTTTCCAAGGCGGAGGATTCCTAACTTCAGTGTCAGGCTCAGAGATGTTACCTACATCATCTCACTTGAAAGCCTTTTTATTGTTGTGAAACATACAGATGTGGGGTAGGATGAAGTTGGAGCCATCTGTGGGCCAGCAATTTCATTTGTTCAACTAACTCTCTCTCTCTCTCTCTCTCTCTCTCTCTCTCTCTCTCTCTCTCTCTCTCTCTCTCTTCTCTCTCTCTCTCTCTCTCTCTCTCTTGCGCGAGCTATCCTTCGCAAATATACTTAGTTTCCATGGTATGGCATCTGTGTTTATCACGCTCTAACTCTCCACTTGTTACCACAAGAACCATTTCCTGTCGTGAGGGCTCCCGTCCCCAGCCTCACCTTCTGTTGGTCAGGGGTGTAAAAAAATACTAGCATTGATGGTCAGCCAAAGTGCTTGTAGACAGGTAGCGGACAACAGCATTCTAAAGGCCTTTGATGGCTACAGAACACGCTTTTCTTAACGGAGAATTTCATTTGAGTGGAGGGAAGCAAGGTTCGTGGGACGCCACAGTTGGTTTGCTGTTTTGTATCAATGGGGGATTTCAGTCGTTTTTGTCAGAACTGTTAGTGTTGCTGTCCTTTGTGGACAGTGTGCCTGTCTTTTTCCCCGGCATTTAGTATATTTCAACTCTTAGTTTTTCTTAATATTTTCTTTCCATCTTTAGCATTTAGTGAAAAGATTAACACCATTGTTTGTTTTATGAAGACACTTAATAATTTACTATAGTTTACCATTACAGAAATGTTTCCGACACCTGATATGTATAATAGTTTTAAACTAAAGTAATATTAATAATCTCTTTAAAAATACCCATAAAATAATCTTTGTCTGAATGTTAAAGATTCTCTTTAGACTGAATTATTAAGGAATTTTTATAATATATCTGATTACCTTATTAAAAAATTCACTCGGAGTTACAAAATCATTAGTCTTCGGTAATTTCATTTGAATTGTGTTAACTTCTGTTATCACTCTGCTCTTTGTATATCGTTTTCTATTTCAATTCTACCTAAATTATTCATTATGGGTCCGAAATTTTCAATATGATCTTTAAAATGTTTTTATGCACAAAGATATTTTTGTTATAAATCACACTGAATTATTTTAGTCGGGTTGTTCAACTCGTCATCGTGATGGATTTTTTTTTTTAATTTTACCTTGCTTATATTGTAATATAATTTAGATTCTGATAATGGAAAGAGAAACATCCGAAACATTAATACAGAAATTGCATATATATATATATATATATGCAATAAGATCACAGTAAACAGGTGATTTCAAAATATGCAAAACAACCACTCTGAAAGAATAGAGAAATTCCAAGCGCTTTCGTGACTACTCACATTATCAAGGAACTATATAGTTCCTTGATAATGTGAGTAGTCACGAAAGCGCTTGGAATTTCTCTATTTTCAGAGTGGTTGTTTTGCATATATATATATATATATATATATATATATATAAATATATATATATATATATATATATATATATATATATATATATATATATATATATATATATATATATATATATATATATATATATATATATATATATATATATATATATATATATAATATATAAATATATATAATATATTATATATATATATATATATAATATATATATATATAATATAATATATATATATATATATATATATATATATATCTTCTTTCTTTCAACACACCGGCCGTATCCCACCGAGGAAGGGTGGCCCAAAAGGAAAAACGAAATTTTCTCCTTTTACATTTAGTAATATATACAGGAGAAGGGGTTACTAGCCCCTTGCTCCTGGCATTTTAGTCGCCTCTCACAACACGCATGGCTTACGGAGCAAGAATTCTGTTCCACTTACCCATGGAGATAAACAAGAACAAGAACTAGAAAGAAAATAGCAGAAAACCCAGAGGGGTGTGTATATATATGCTTGTACATGTATGTGTAGTGTGACCTAAGTGTAAGTAGAAGTAGCAAGACGTACCTGAAATCTTGCATGTTTATGAGACAGAAAAATGGACACCAGCAATCCTACCATCATGTAAAACAATTACAGGCTTCCGTTTTACACTCACTTGGCAGGACGGTAGTATCTCCCTGGGCGGTTACTGTCTACCAACCTACTACCTATAATTATATAATATATATATATATATATATATATATATATATATATATATATATATATATATATATATATATATATATATATATATATATATATATATGCGTGTGTGTATGCAATGTTCACGAACAGGAACGTAAGGTAACGCTGATAAGATGAGATACTAGGTTCAGGTTTATCTGTCTGGACCAAGAATGGACTCCTCTCTCTCTCTCTCTCTCTCTCTCTCTCTACTCTCTCTTCTCTCTCTCTCTCTCTCTCGTCTCTCTCTCCTCTCTCTCTCTCTCCCTCTCTCTCTCTCTCTCTCTCCTCTCTCTCTCTCTCTCTCTCTCTCGTATGTATAATGTTCGCCAAGACCGTAGTCCTGGCACGGGTCTCAATCTTGCGATGACCCGTCTCTGGCTCCCGAGGAAGACTCTCTCTCTCTCTCTCTCTCTCTCTCTCTCTCTCTCTCTCTCTTTCTCATTTATTGGTATGACCTCTGACCTCAACTACTCATGTGTCGTCTCACCTGTTCTTTATTGCCTTCTAGTAAAAAAATGTATTTTTGTTTTTCAGAAGCAATAGGTATAGGTGATTTAAAGAGAATGAATGTGTGTGTGTACTCACCTAGGTGTGGTTGCAAGAGTCGATTCACAGCTCCTGGCCCCGCCTCTTCACTGGCTGCTACTAGGTCACTCTTCCTGCTCCAAGAGCTTTATCATGTGTGTGTGTGTGTGTGTGTGTGTGTGTGTGTGTGTGTGTGTGTGTGTGTGTGTGTGTGTGCTACATAGCCAGAGAGGCTTTTAAATCTACATAAATCTTTTTGCGGATTAAATACCGGAAACACAGGAAGCTGAAGCAGTAAAACAAACACGGGAAACCTGCAGGTAAATATATTATGTTTGTATTGATAGATGTTTTTATTTAATCTCCATATGTTTTTTGGGAGTTTAACCCGTTGGTGTTTTTAAATGTTTGATGGATGGGTAGTAATCTGAATTGATCTAGGGATGGAAATGGAAATTCAAACGTACTAGACCAACAACTTGTCACTACCAGCAGGATGCCACCATTGAGGGAATTGTATTGTCTCTATACTGAGTAGGTCCTGTAGGTAGGTTCTCGTGAATTTTTGTATTAATGTACGTTAGGTACCATATCTGAATCTTTTTTTAAAAGATTTTTTTAACTCTAATATTTTAGAAAATACTCTATATTTTTGCACTCGCCGATTTGTGTTTACAAGGGTCGAGTCAGTGTCCCCTGTACAGCATCTCAACCCACAATAAACTGACCCAGCCACTAGCTTCTTGGTACTCGTTATATTTTCTCTGGTAACTATGCAATTTTCTTCCTCCGTCTAGTTTCATAGTTCCTTCTAATGTCACAACCATTATGCGTGTGTTTATGTGTGAGTGTGAGTAGGCGTGTGTCTCTGAGTGTAAATAATCAATGCCTTTTTCCACATCATACAAGATCAAAGGGGAGTGAACATCCAGTCCTCTTCATCTAAAATGGAACAAGCCGAAAAAATACTGAATACAACAGAAACACGAGCATGGACGATGCACAGTGAATAACATCTGCGATCTTTCTTTTATTCATTTCAAACTGAAGAAAGTGGAACACAGGAGGTACAAGAAGCAGTAATATAGATCT